TGCTTACTTGAGTTGGGTTGACCAAACATGTCAATAATGTAATATTAAGTAATTTCCTTCTCAACTGCAAACCAAAAGCTAAATATTACAGGTTGATATAATAAGGAAAAAAAAAAGTATTTATCACTTGTTTCTGCATTCCTTCAATTAGTTTTTCTGTTTTTTACTTTTTTTCCCCCTTATATTAGGTCTTGAATCTTGATTCCCTTTTTTTAACCTGCAATTGTTTTGTAATCCCAGATTAATATTTTTATTGATGTTCTTCCAAACTACCCTTTGCACTCCCATGGCATGATCGCTGCTCCAAAGGTGCTTGCCGATGTTGTTGAATCAACAGTTGGAGCTGTGTTCATTGACAGCAATGCTTCACTTGATAAAACCTGGGAGGTCTTTCCTTTCTCTGGACTCTTTATTTTCATTTTCTTTGAGATAATATAACTGCACATAAACTCTTGTCCTGGGTGGCAATCTAAGCAAATGAATCTTCTGTTTCCTTATTTCTCCTCGATAAAGGGAAAAGACCGCCTAGCTGTGCCAGCATTGCCATGATGATATCTGTCTGAATATATTCATAAATAGCTTTAATATGAATCTGAATGACAAAAATAGGAAGATTCCAATTTTGACTAAAGAAGATACTATTCCCTTTATGGTGAAAGCATGGGTGTGGCCTATGGGATGGAGATTGCTATAAATATCCAGTGTACAACCACTGATGTTGAACCATTTTTGGGCTCACAGGTAACAAAGACACTGTTGGAGCCAATAATTACCCCAGAGATGCTTGAAGCAAATCCTGTGAGAAAGCTGTTTGAAATCTGCCAGAAGCACAAGCTTAAAGTACAGCTCATAGATCTATGGGCACAAAACAAAACTTGTGAAGTAGTTGTTGACAATCAGTTTAGAGGAAGAGGGAAGTGCCTTCAAAAGAAAGAAGTTGCTCTGAATAGAGCAGCAAGCGAGGTGTACAATGAAGTTGTTAATGTTCTAGGTATCAAGTCCTGATCTGTCTCGAATTTTCTATCAGATTAATGGAGTGTAACATGAAACTAAATAGAACGATTCGCATGTGTATTAGTCAAAATCTAACAAAGTTACTGCATATCCTGAAGATTGGACCTTATGATCAAAATGTATTTGGCATTTGGCAATGGTAATTCTTTGGGAGTTCACTAACAAGCCATGCATGAAAGAGAGAGTGAGTCTTTTCTTGTTGGTAAATTGTCTTTCAACAACTTACAAGTTTTTCAAAAATTCTTGTACATTAGGTTATTATATACTCTTGCACTCGGCAGGAAAGTGAACTTTACACTCTTGTGATTGTTAATATTAAGATTTGTTCCTAAAAGGTTGAATCTCCAATGCCAAGGACACTCACGTTCCAATCTGACAGAGTATCTGGGAGAATATAAATCATGATAACTCAGCTGAATACAGAGTTAACAAGAATTGTCAATATTAAGATGATTATGTTAGCAGCCAAGGACGGAACCTTTCCTGTTTCCAACGCAACCTGCAGGAGCATTGTTCATTGTACATTGATGACGATTGACTATTTGTTGTTGGTGCACAAGATACGGCAGATTTGAAGACAGACTATCTGTTTCTTTACACTCAAGTCACAGTCATTCACCGTTTTCCAAACACGCAGATCGACATCCCCATAAAGAAGAAAGAAAGTACTTCATTTCTGGAAAAAATGCGATGCATAAATGCATAATGCATGCACTTTCAAAAATATTACTCCCTTTTTTTTTGAAAACAAAAAATATTACTCCCTTGTGTCTTGATCTCGTCAAAAAGTGGAATATAATTGTAAGGAAAATTCAATTCACACCACTTATATAATAGGTCAAATAACTTTACAGGTGGTGCAAATATCAAAGTGCTATTTGACCACCATTAATAAATGTGGTCAAAAAGTAATATTTATTATTTTTTTTAAAGAAATCAACATATTTAAAAAAAAAAAAAAAAAAAGAGATCTGTCACCTTCTCCGGTGAGAAGGCGACGAACTGCCTTCTCACTGGAGAAGGCGACCCAAGTACAATCGTTATGCTGTGCATCTGTATGCACCATGCATGGTGCATATGGATGCCAAAACGACGTCGTTTTATTAAAAAACGCGCGTCTCCCCTTTAAAAAAAATTCAGGTTCGATTCCCAGCAACAACATTTTATTGTTCATTCATTCTGAAATTTTAGTTCATAGATTATGGAATTATAGTTCATTGATTATGGAATTATAGTTCATCGATTATGGAATTGTAGTTCATCGATTCTGAAATTTTAGTTTATAGATTATGGAATTTTAGTTCATTCATTCTGGAATTTTTAGTTCATAGATTAGATTATGGAATTATAGTTCATCGATTATGGAATTTTAGTTCATATGTTGTTGCTGGGAATCGAACCTGATTTTTTTTTTTAAGGAGAGATGCGCGTTTTATTAAAACGACGTCGTTTTTGCATCCGTATGCACCATGCATGGTGCATACGGATGCACAGCATAATTTGCCACCCAGGTAGGCTTCTACCTAGGTTGCCTTCTCCGACGAGAAGGCAACCAACTGTGGCAACCCAGGTAGAAGCCTACCTGGGTCGCCTTCTCCAGTGAGAAGGCGACCACTGGGCTGCCTTCTCACCGGAGAAGGCGACGTTTCATTGTTTTTTTTTTTTTTTTAATTTTAATGAATTACATTTTGAATTAATTAATTATTACTTAAATCCAATAAATGCAGTTTTATTAAGGTGGTGCAAATAGCCAAATGGGTGGTGCAAATAGCAACACCCAATTGCACCACCTATGTATTTATTATAAATTACCACCTTTTTATACTTTCAATGTACTTTATACTTCATTTTAGTCAAAGGGTGGTGCAAATAGCAACACCCAATTGTAATCTTTGGAGACACATTCACACCCAAAATGAAAACACCGGGTTAATGACAGAAATAGATTAAATTTTTTTTTTTTTTTTTTGATAAAGATAGAAAACTTTTAAAAATTGGACAAAAATAGTTAAAATTCATTTGCCAAATGCGTTTCTTGTAGTCTACGTACGGCAAACTTTCGCCGGTCAGGAGAGATGCAAGTGAGACCTATGTCTCTCAGTATGGCAGGAGAGACGCAAGTCCCACTTGCGTCTCTCCTTTGCCTTTTGGAAAAAAAAAAAAAAAAAACAATCTGCCCAAGAATTTTTGGATGTGCACAACCAAGCAAGGGCTGAAGTGGGCATCGCCAGATGCTGGCCACTGCCACAAGTCATAACGAGCGGGAATTGAAAAATATATATAATACTAGTATTTTATATCCGCGATGCGCAAAAAATATATGCCCAATATTAAAACTAAATATTAAAATCTTAGTTATATTAAAAAATAATTGTGTGTGTGTGTGTGTGTGTGTGTGTGTGTGTGTGTGTATAATTGTATAATTCATATTAATATTTTTTAGGTAAAAATTATAGAAATGATAAATTATTAAATATAACTATGGTAACATTTTAATTAAAACCTAAATGAATTACAACTTACCATGGAAGGATGTGTAAGAAATAATATTATGTATGCATGTACATGGTAATAATAATGTAGAAAGATAACAGAAGTTATAACTGTAGGGATATTTTTGTCCAAAAATTTATGTAGTACAACTTTTATAGCATAAGGTACAAAAAAATTTAACAGAAATAACGGACATAAACCAGGGGTATAACTTGGATTGAAGCTTATTATGTTTTTAGATAATGGATGTCAAAAATGGTCCAGAAGGTGATGATTACCAAAATAAAGCAAGGAAAGGAGAGGAGTTGTACTACTTGAGGCGGCAGAGTCAGGTGCAGGGCGGTCGTCCAACGTTTACTGCTGGAGAGTCGAAGGACAAAGTTCCATTCAAATGGGAGAAGAAGCCGGGCACACCCGACGTAGTCGACACCCAACTAATACCCAATGATAAAGACGAAGAAATTATTATTCCAGCACCCCTTAGTCCCCTTAAAATTTTGGTGTATAGCTCTATATATTCTGCTGTATTTTTCTTTCAATAATATATTTTGATTCAAACCTTCACATAGCCCTCCCCTTTGGTTGCAAAGCTTGGGGATATGCTTCTACAATCCTCCTGGGCAGAGTGTTTTTTTTATAAGGCAAATGAGAGTCCCTCCCTGCTGTACTGAGTCACGCAAGTCTCACTTGCGTCTCTCCTAACCAACGACAGTTTGTCGGTAAAGGAGACACGCAAGTGGGACTTGCATGTCTCGTAGTGTATACATACCTAGATTACAAGAAATGCATTTGGCAAGTCAATTTTACCTATTTTTGTCCAACTTTCGAAAGCTTTTTATTTTTGTCAATTTTTTTTTTTATTTTTTACCTATTTCTGTCATTAACCCTAAAACACCTCCTCTTATCAAATGAACTCTGCTTTAAATTTTTTTAATAATTATAAAAAGTATACCCAACAATAGTATAAAAATGCACCTAATGATATCACTAATTGCACGAAAATGCACCTAACGATATCATTAATTGCACGGAATGTGAACGTTAATTGCACTCAGGGATTTCACCTTTTAAAATTTGTAATTTAATTTTTTAAATTTGGTCCAAAAATTTACTTTTTACTATTTAGGATTTTAGTCTTTATGTTTTAGCTTTGGATTTACTATCAAATCAAACAAAAAGATTGTTGTTCTTAAAACCTACTCCAATCATAATTATGATTTCAATATTACCAAACATCCGATCCCCAAGTATTTTAAAATTTTATTTATTGTTTTAGATTTTCTTAAATTTAATCACAGTAAAAAAGTTAACATAATAATTATTATTTGAAATTTGAAAAATTGCAAATTATATATACACGCTTTCCTTTTTGGAAAATTTAGCAAATTGCAAATAATCAATGTTTAATTATATAAATTTGTCCCCATGCTCGCCGCCTACCCTATAAATAAACTCTATATGACATGAGAAGTTCGTTCACGACAATACCCGAAACCAGAATCCTGAAAACTCAACGTAACTTCTCTAGTCTTCTACAGTCTTTCTGCGAGAACGAGGTTGTCTTCCATGGAGGCACAAGAACTCAAACGAGAAGAAGCTCCCGTCGACGACTCTTCTCTAGGGCTTCAATCATCCGGTGAAGACGAAACAGTAGTCGCCGAAGAGAAGCTACAAGTAGCCGCCTCCGCCGCAAGCCGCGGCGGCGGCGAGAAAGACGAGGAGGAGGAGGAGGCTTGGAAGAACAATCTAGAAGAGGTGGAGGAAATCATAGGTTACAAATTCAACGATCCGAAGTTGCTGCGACAAGCCTTCACGCATTCATCGTACCGGAGCGAGTGTTCGTGGTCGTACGAGAGGTTGGAATACATGGGAGATTCGGTGTTGAATATGTTGATCACGAAGGAGCATTATTTTCTCTACCCGGAGCTCCCGCCGGGGAAGTTGACTCCCCTACGCGCCTTTAACGTCGATACCGAGAAGTTAGCGCGCGTGGCTATCAAATATAATTTGCACAAGTATTTACGCCATAGGAAGCCCCTTCTTGAGGGTCAAGTAAGTCCATTTTAATTAATTTGTCAATTTAATTTTTCATTGTCTACTTAATTGCTTCTTTCTTGTTTATTCAATTTAATTTGTCCTTAAAATATTCCAACACAAAGCTACAACGTAAGAATAATATTATAATTTTCTAGGTCTACACTCCACATAGACAAAGTCACAAAGTCTAAGGTTTGGACTTGCCCTCTTGTAATTTCATTATTATCACCCATTGATCATTGATCAAACCTGCAACGTAACCGTGGACTTATGAATTTAACACTTTGTAGTTATAAGGCAGGGTTTATGCAATGCATATCTCACGGATAGTGCATGTTGTAGGCTAAGTAAAAATTATAGGTGTTTTAAAAATATTATGTGTTTATTCTATAGTTAGGTATTTCATATTGATTAAGACTTCAATGAAAAAAATTTGATTGAGATAAGCTTGACAAAGTTATGGGTATCTAAATAGTACTATACATAACACTTATCACGAGATATCCAATCATTTTTCTTCATATTTATCTTTGTGTGTGTGTAAATGTATTGTGCATCTGAAAATAGCTAGATACAATTTTTGGGTTATGGATGTATAGCCTTTAGGCATAATAACACCTTGGGTTTTTGCTTGTTTAATTTGTTAAGATATTAATTAATGTTTTAATTAAGTAATTTAGGTTCACAATCTAATCACCTGGCCTGTGTGTATGATAGATCTTCCCAAAACAAGATCAGATGTCATGGAATCTTAGATGGGGTTATGAACCCCACATGTATATAATGTATGATCTTCCAAAAGACCAAAATGTCATGAACTTTTGATTGAATCCTAGCTAGATGGGGTTATATGCATGAATCCCAGGCCACCAGAAAATTTATCATGTACCATCTTCCAGAAACAACACTTAATTATGTCATTGATTCATGGATGGCAGCCTGGCCTGGGGTTATGAATCCCAACTTCATCTTCTCTAACTCTAAATATTGAATCATTATAGGTTAACACCTTTAAAAAGGCTGCATCAGAGTACCCCTTTCATTCAGCAGGGCTAATCGATCCTCCCAAGGCCCTAGCAGACATAGTTGAGTCATTGTTGGGAGCAGTATACATCGACTCAGGCTGCTCAACGGACACAACATGGCCGGTTCGTTCTGCTCTTCTCGATCCTAGGCTGTCATTACCATGATGTTCTAAACAGCAAGTGTTCTTAATATAATGTCTGGTTTTTTTATTTGTTTGATGACATATATATACAGATAGTGAAGAGTTTGTTGCAGCCTATGATTACCCCGACGAATCTTGAACAGCATCCGGTGTCCAAGTTCTACGAGATATGCCAGAAGAGAGGGTGGAAAGTGGAAACAGTGGATGTGTGGGAGGAGACTGGAGAGATTCATGTCTATGTGAATGGTGAGTTTGCAGGAAAGAGCAAATTCAAGGGGAAAAAATTGACTGCACATAATAGGGCAGCTCATAATGCTTATTATAATTATCTTATGGAGAAGTTGAGTTTGGAAAATGGTAACAAAGAGTAAACACCTTCTCAAATATTGTATCTAGCTATGTATGTATGTGAGTATGATGAGACATGCATGTACACAGATTCTTTGGCTTTTATATATTACGGAGTATTATAATCCTAATTCTCTCTATAATTTATCAAGCATTTTATGCTCAGTTAACACTTTTGTGACTTTCCTTAAGGGAAAGTTATAGTATCAAACTCCCATGATCTGTAAGATAGAAAAAGTATAAAACAAATACTCACGGAATAAATAGTTGTATTGCACCGTTTGCCTATGGTCATTTGCCACATACATCATAATATACATATCAACGTAACAATGTTATCGCATGTAATAATAATGTAATGACCTTTTGGGCTGGTAATAATGAGTATCCAATTAATTATAACAAATTCACTAATTAATACACAACAATTATTAATCATAATTAATGATTTGATATACTTAACAATGATATTTAGCAACACTCCTAAAAAAATATAAGGAAAATGCTATGCATCACGACCTTAATTACTTGAACAGGAAAGGAAAATGCCATCACAATTATATTAAGAAAAATCAAACCTTAATAATTCAAGAGGGGCTTATATTAGTGGCCTATTGTTCATCCTCTCATCAATTTAAATAATATACAAGAAAAAATAAATATGTGAACTAGTTGACTAATTTGGGGCGACTTTCACGTTAGAATAGAAGTTTCGTTCTAAGGTTTTGGAGGTTGAAAATTTTGGCAAAAATTGGCATTGGGGCGACTCTCAAGTTAGAATAAAAGTGCCTACCACATATACCAGAAAATTGAAGCATGTGATGCATCTAAACTAAAAGTCTAAATTAATAGTTGAATTGCATATTTACTTTATATATTATATATTCAATTGCACATTTATTTTATTAAGGTTACAAAAATCGCGTCTAGGCGCTAGGTGGCGGCCCGCCGCCTAGAAATTCGGCAAAATCGTCGTTCTAGGCGGTCGGCCGCCCTAGGTCGCCGCAGACTAGGCGGGAGTTTAGGTTGCTGATACGTTATTTTTCTGTATTTTTTAAATGGATTATTTCACTCAAACAAACGCCTTTTTTAGTGAAATAACTCTAAATTGTTTAAATCGGTCGCAAACCCAAAAAAATGTAATACAAAATTATTTGGAATCAGTTACTCTAATAATAACTTGAGTTGTGACTTTGTGTTGTGTTTTGATTCTTTAAATATTTATATAATTTACAATTAAATAGTTATAATTACAAAGTCTTAAATAATTTTTTTTAAAAAAAAATATTTTAAATTAAAATTTTAAAAATAAAAATAAAAACGGGTGCCCTAGGCGCCCCTGAGCGCCTAGCGGATTTTTCAACCTTGACTTTATATATTATATGTTCAACACAAAAGAAGGGGTGGAAACACATGGATCATATATAGTTTCTTTTTTATCGGGTGACGCGGAGATTTGAAATCATGACCTTTCACATGAGACTGACTATTATATCAAATTAAAACATGTGATCCATCTCAACTAAAAGTTTAAGTCGATAGTTGAATTGCACATTTACTTTATGTATTATATGCTCAACACAGAAGGAGGGGTGGAATGGGGATGTGTGGGAGGAGACTGGAGAGATTCATGATGTCTATGTGAATGGTGAGTTTGCAGGGAAGAGCAAATTCAAGGGGGGAAAATTGACTGCAATTAATAGGGCAGCTCATAATGCATATTATAATTATCTTAGTAGTACTGAAATTGTATTAGTTAAAACTTAGCAAATTGATTCCGTACGTAATTATTCTTCCAAGGCTGAACCCCAACCCTTAGGGCCCCCCACACCCCGACCCGGCAGAGCATTTGGGAGCAATCGTTATACCCTACGCCACGGCGCATATAGTACTATGCGCCGCACGCCTCCCAAAACGACGTCGTTTTGGGGTCGTTTTGGGAGGCGCGGTAGGAAGTTGCTGGGATTATGTGTATTTATTCACACAGTTATGTGTATTTGTTCATACAGTTATGTGTATTGGTTCATACAGTTATGTACATTTTTTATACAATTATGTACATCCGAATCAGAAAATTTGTGTGTATTATGTTAATAGTTGATGTGTATTATGTTAAAAGTTTATGTTTATTATGTATTATGTTAGATTATGTGTATTATCTTTTAAAAAGAGTATGTATATTTTGTTATATAATTATGTACATTCATGTATACAATTATGTGTATTCTAGTATAACATTATGTACATTCTTGAACAGCGGTTTTTTTTTTTTTAAAGAAAAAACTACTGCCATTCACTGGGGCGGGAAATTTCAAAAAAAAAAAAAAACGACGTCGTTTTGCATCTGGGCGCATAGTGCAATGCGCGCCGCGCCATGGTGTAGGATATAAATTGCCATTTGGGAGGATGTAAATCATGGTGACTCAACTGAACATGAACCATAGAGGCTAGACCGGTGCTCACTGCGCACAAGGAGTAACAAACATTTAATTAAGAATAAAATGTTTGTTACTTATAAGAGAAAATGTAATATTTTTTATGACAAATGTAATATATTTATATTTTGATGTAAAAGTATTACATTTTTCCTTATAAATAACGTTGGTAAGTATTTTTTTTTTTTTTTTTGAAAATCAAGGAAAACGAGATTTATTAATCACTCAAACGTAAATGTTGAATACAATCAAGTTCATCAGGATAAGAAAAAAACCAAGTACTAGGACCAGACTGAGAAGTCGCTACTCTAACTAACACATGAGCTAACGTATTCGCTGATCTAGAAACGTAATGAAACGACACATTAATAAAGTGTCGTTTTAGATTATAACAGTCATGGAGAACACATCCAATATAAGAATAATTCAGTGAAGAGTTCTCCAACATCTTGCAAACCAATTGACAATCCAAATAGATCGCCAACTTCTGACAATCCGAATAGATCCGAATGTTGGTAAGTATTTGTTATAAGAGAAAATGTAATACTTTTAAATCAAAATGTAAAAGTATTACATTTTTTCTTCAAAAGTATTATTGCATTTTCTCATAATAAAAATTGTATTCCTTATTAGTATCATATTTTCTAATATAAGTATTACATTTGATTTTGACATGACCCGTCTCACTAACAATGATCCGTGAAATGATCTCACACAATTTTTTGCCTTTAATTTATTGCATGTAAAACAACCTATAAAAATATGAACATACTTTGTTATTTTAAGCTTTAGATATAAAGTTTAAAAGCTATAAGTGAGGGTATTTCTCTCCTACATATCAATTTTATTTTATTATTGGTTTTTGGAAGATTGGCTAATATTTTAAATAAATAATTCTACTTTTTAGCAAAAACTTAAAAGTTTAGCAAGCTTCCCGAGCTTTACCATTTACAGTATCTTTAGTCTTTATGGTCTATAACAAAATCTTTAAACTCTTGTAAAATAAATAAATAAATACATAAAACCTTAGCTAGTTAGCTCTACGTACCCCACAAACTTCAAAGTTTCTCCCACTTGTGGCATTTGATTGGAATGAGAAAATTAAAAGAAAAAAAAATTGTAATTCTGTAAAAATAATAATAATAATAATAATAATAATAATAATAATAATAATAATAATAATAAAATAACATGAAAATTCAAATTCTATTTTTTGGTAAGTAGGAATAAAATTGTCATGATTGAAAGAAAAGAAGTGAATAAAAATTAAAATACACTTGTATAATAATAATAAAATTGTAATTTATTGTGAAATTTTAATTCCACAACTAATTTCACCCACTTAACCACCCTTTTTAAAACAAAAGTGAAGCATTCTTCTAAATATGAATAGGAGATGTCTTGTGCTTTTTTTTTTTTTTTAATGAAGAGAAATATATTTATTAAAACCTTACTCAATAATGAATACAATACAATAAAAATAAAATAAATAAAATAAAAATAAAAAAGAATCATAGTTACAACTATAAATTATTTAAAACCACTATCTATCAATCAACTATAATAATAATTTTTTGAATCCGGCTATTTAACGGGGCAACCTATACAGGGAGGGGAATGTAGTTGTGCCAACTTCATTTGTGTTGTGCGGACACCCTGTATTCAGCTTTTTAAATAAGCAACCCTTACCAGAATGCTCAAGCTTCTCTATCGGTATCAAAACCAAAGAACCAACACTCGTTATTCCAGGCATGTTTTGCCAATTGAAAATTGTTAATTTCTTGATCCAAATTCCTTCCTTTTGCACAATCTTATGCTACAGCAGGTTCGGTTTCTGCAGTTGAATCTGCACTCGAATATTGTACTGAGATGTACCGGATTCATTACTCAAATTGCAGTAACTGGGGTTGTGAATGAACCAAACATAGAAAAGAGGAACGTCGTGTTTAACTTACCAGAAGAACATGAACTATCATTTCACGTTGATGTAGCTTGTTCGCCACAACTAAAGTGCAGTCTCCAAAGATTGCTCTTGAGGTTACCAAACAATGGTGCAATTAAGGAGCTCAGAAGGGCCTCAAAGATGGTACCTGAGGTCATATTCATGACACTGTATAAATGACTTAAAATATTGTGTCAATTTTTCTTTGCATTTAACAACTTCATACAAGAAATACTTACAACGAAGCTCTTCATTAGTGGATATGCAACAAGAACACTTAAATTTCTTGACTACATTCAATTGAACCAGAAGTATCTGGAAGCTCAACGGAATGTGAATAGAAAGTATTGTCCTTTTCTGTAAAGGGAAGAAGCTTCTGTGCATGTAAACTATTTACTATCCAGTTAACTGGCTGCATCAGAAATTTCATAATTATCAGTAGGTCGAGATATCACTTTTATCAAACAGATCTTAATAACTTGATCCTTAACAAAAGAACCAAATTAGAAAATCAAACTACTGACCATGATAGGTATTTTCTTCTCTAAGGTGCACTTCTTCAAGTGTCTTGACTCCCAGCTGCCATCTTCAGTCACAACAACCCCAATGGTAATCTTTGCAGCATCAAGACTTAACACTAAGTTCTGGAGCGTTTTGAAAACTCTTGCACCACCATGCTGACCAGTTGAGAAGGATAAAGGAAGTTCCAAAT